AAGTACAGTGTGTCAAAAACGTGATGCTAAAAAAATCCCCATCACACAGGATGGTTAGTCATACAGAGGCATGTGATAAGTAGTCTGCACTGACAGACTAGTCCCACAAGAGTCCCCAGGAGAGTACGGAGCCTAGACCAGGTGTGGCCAAACACCAATATGATGCACCCTTACAGACTGCCACCCTCTACACCTTATCATCACGATAATGGAGTGTTTCAACAATAACTTGACTGAGGAATTAAAACCAAGGTCACATTCAGATCATAAATCAGTAAAGTTTGAAATAAAAGTTCATATTATAATTTGTATTATTAATGCTTTTATTATTCTATCGACAGAATAACAATAACAAATTTAATATATAAAAATCGTTACTATAATTTACCGCAACCAATACGTTAAAGAAAATTATTATATAAATTACGATATTATGGCAATCATTATCATTCTGTAAAAGTTACTTTTAAAACCTAGGCTCCAGAGGCTCGGTAGCTTGCTTACCTAGAGAATCTAGGTCCCAATGGCTCTGTGGCTAGCTTGAAGTGACCTCGAGAACCTAGATCCTTGGTACCCAACAAGGCTCTAGGTTTGGTTTGCTAGGCTCCTGGACGCGGCTGCAGGCAATCACAGCCGGTTGAACAGGTACCACCTTTTGGAGGTGTTCACGATGTTGCCTCTTGAACATTGAAAGAAGTTCGACTCGTCATACCACTTGAAATTTAGAGGGTGTTGGAAAGCGCGGGATCCTTAAATATTTACAGAATTATCTCTTAAGAGTCCTTATTGGCAGTGCCGGATTATCCATCAAGCACTATAGACAGTGACTATGCCCCATGAGAGCGGGGGGCCTACGAAAAATATTTTTTCCCCCCATTTCTAATAAATAAATAAAAAATAAGATTTTTTCCCCCATTTCTACAGGATATCATTAAATTGATGCCGAGGTACCTTTTCCATTTATTTATTACCTGGTTGATGGGGTTCTAGGAGTTCTTCTACTCCCCAAGCCCGGCCCGAGGCCAGGCTCGACTTGTGAGAGTTTGGTCCACCAGGCTGTTGCTTGGAGCGGCCCGCAGGCCCACATACCCACCACAGCCCGGCTGGTCCGGAACTTCTCTTAGAAAACTGGACTGTTTTCTAAGAGCTAAGATGTCTTCAAGATGTTTGAAGATGTCCACGGTTGTTCCGGCAATATTTCTTATAGTCGCTGGGAGGACGTTGAACAACCGCGGACCTCTGATGTTTATACAGTACCTAATCCTATTATCTATTTATCTTGGTTTATTATTATATATATTTAACCATTCTGGCTATAGATAAATGCACAACAGGAGGTTCTAGATTGTGGTATTAGTGAACATGGTGTCAAATCTGACCCTATATCTTGGAGGTGGTTTAGACCCACGAAAGTCTTACCCTGGACCTGCCTACTGGGCACATTTTACACATTACAGGCTAAAGATTCTTAGATTCTGCAGGCGATGAGTCACAATAACGTGGCTAAAGTATGATGACCAGACCACACACTAGAATTTGAAGGGACGACGACGTTTCGGTCCGTCCTGGACCAGTCTCAAGTCGATTGTCGACTTGAGAATGTCGACAAAAACGTCGTCGTCCCTTCACATTCTAGTGTGTGGTCTGGTCATCATACTTCTTAGATTCTTATAAATCTAAGAATGCCTAATAGGCTATTAAGCTAACCGATACCTATAAACAACCTACAAGTATACAATAGTCCGCTATTTTCTCCTGTTAAATGTTTGGAATTAAAACCTTAAATTATACATATATATACATGTATCTATATAGATATTTATAGATATAAAATTATATCTCAAAAAAAATCAAAAACAAAGGTCTAACACTAAAATATTATGCAATTTTCTGGAAGTCAAGTTGACAATACCTGATGTGATCTGGCAAAGTTAACAAAAGTGTGGTGAACCCACAGCAATGAATGAGTTAGGGAATGAGCGTTATAAAGGCCTATGGGAGTGGGAAGTGGGGGGTTACGGGCTATTCATGCCCGTGCCACCTCTTGGTGGCACTCTTCACCAATCAATGAGTGGGTCGAATATGATAGAGAAGACTGAAGATATAATGCATGAGGAGAGAGTACAACTCTCGAAACCGACTACAGGTAAACTATAGGTAGTGAAAGTGAATAATGAGAGTGGCGAGATTAAAGATGACGGGCCATGCGAGGGATGAAATTGGAGGTGAAGTGACGGGCCAGGATACACCATCAGAGACGGCGGGCCAGGACAACCATGATAGGCCAGGAAAAAAGGATGACAGTGAGGGTGATGGCCAGGACAAAAGGGTGACTGTGGGGGGGTGACTGGCTAGGACATAAGGGTGACTGTGGGGGGGGGGACTGGCCAGGACAAAAGGGTGACTGTGAGGGGGTGACTGGCCAGGACATAAGGGTGACTGTGGGGGGGGGGGGGGACTGGCTAGGACATAAGGGTGACTGTTGGGGGGGGGGGGACTGGCCAGGACAAAAGGGTGACAGTGAGGGTGATGGCCAGGACGAAAGGGTGACTGTGGGGGGTGACTGGCCAGAAGAAATGGGTGACGGTAGGGAGGGGTTAAGTGGCCAGGACAAAAGGTGACAGTGGGAAGGTGACCTACCAGGACAAAATGGTGACCGAGGGGGAAGGGGGGGGGGGTGACTTGCCAGAAAAAAGGTGACATTGGGGACAACTGGGCAAGAAATAAAAGGGTGACAGTGGGAGCGGGGGGACTGGCCAGGACAAAAAAAATGGGGGGCCAAAAAAAGGTCAAATTGGGAGTGACTGGCTAGGAAAAATAGGTTAGTGACAGCGGGGGGGGGGTGACGGGCCAGCAGGGTGACAGCGGGGGGTGACGGGCCAGCAGGGTGACAGCGAGAGGTGACGGGCCAGCAGGGTGACAGCGAGAGGTGACGGGCCAGCAGGGTGACAGCGAGAGGTGACGGGCCAGCAGGGTGACAGCGAGAGGTGACGGGCCAGCAGGGTGACAGCAAGAGGTGACGGGCCAGCAGGGTGACAGGGATAGGTGACGGGCCAGCAGGGTGACAGGGATAGGTGACGGGCCAGCAGGGTGACAGGGATAGGTGACGGGCCAGCAGGGTGACAGGGATAGGTGACGGGCCAGCAGGGTGACAGGGATAGGTGACGGGCCAGCAGGGTGACAGGGATAGGTGACGGGCCAGCAGGGTGACAGGGATAGGTGACGGGCCAGCAGGGTGACAGGGATAGGTGACGGGCCAGCAGGGTGACAGCAAGAGGTGACGGGCCAGCAGGGTGACAGCAAGAGGTGACGGGCCAGCAGGGTGACAGCAAGAGGTGACGGGCCAGCAGGGTGACAGCAAGAGGTGACGGGCCAGCAGGGTGACAGCAAGAGGTGACGGGCCAGCAGGGTGACAGCGAGAGGTGACGGGCCAGCAGGGTGACAGGGATAGGTGACGGGCCAGCAGGGTGACAGCAAGAGGTGACGGGCCAGCAGGGTGACAGCAAGAGGTGACGGGCCAGCAGGGTGACAGCAAGAGGTGACGGGCCAGCAGGGTGACAGCGAGAGGTGACGGGCCAGCAGGGTGACAGCAAGAGGTGACGGGCCAGCAGGGTGACAGCAAGAGGTGACGGGCCAGCAGGGTGACAGGGATAGGTGACGGGCCAGCAGGGTGACAGGGATAGGTGACGGGCCAGCAGGGTGACAGCAAGAGGTGACGGGCCAGCAGGGTGACAGGGATAGGTGACGGACCAGCAGGGTGACAGCAAGAGGTGACGGGCCAGCAGGGTGACAGGGATAGATGACGGGCCAGCAGGGTGACAGGGATAGGTGACGGGCCAGCAGGGTGACAGGGATAGGTGACGGACCAGCAGGGTGACAGGGATAGGTGACGGGCCAGCAGGGTGACAGGGATAGGTGACGGGCCAGCAGGGTGACAGGGATAGGTGACGGGCCAGCAGGGTGACAGGGATAGGTGACGGGCCAGCAGGGTGACAGGGATAGGTGACGGGCCAGCAGGGTGACAGGGATAGGTGACGGGCCAGCAGGGTGACAGGGATAGGTGACGGGCCAGCAGGGTGACAGGGATAGGTGACGGACCAGCAGGGTGACAGCAAGAGGTGACGGGCCAGCAGGGAGACAGGGATAGGTGACGGGCCAGCAGGGTGACAGCAAGAGGTGACGGGCCAGCAGGGTGACAGCAAGAGGTGACGGGCCAGCAGGGTGACAGCAAGAGGTGACGGGCCAGCAGGGTGACAGCAAGATGTGACGGGCCAGCAGGGTGACAGCAAGAGGTGACGGGCCAGCAGGGTGACAGCGAGAGGTGACGGGCCAGCAGGGTGACAGCGAGAGGTGACGGGCCAGCAGGGTGACAGGGATAGGTGACGGGCCAGCAGGGTGACAGGGATAGGTGACGGGCCAGCAGGGTGACAGGTATAGGTGACGGGCCAGCAGGGTGACAGCAAGAGGTGACGGGCCAGCAGGGTGACAGCAAGAGGTGACGGGCCAGCAGGGTGACAGCAAGAGGTGACGGGCCAGCAGGGTGACAGCAAGAGGTGACGGACCAGCAGGGTGACAGCAAGAGGTGACGGACCAGCAGGGTGACAGGGATAGGTGACGGGCCAGCAGGGTGACAGCAAGAGGTGACGGGCCAGCAGGGTGACAGCGAGAGGTGACGGGCCAGCAGGGTGACAGGGATAGGTGACGGGCCAGCAGGGTGACAGGGATAGGTGACGGACCAGCAGGGTGACAGCAAGAGGTGACGGGCCAGCAGGGTGACAGGGAGAGGTGACGGGCCAGCAGGGTGACAGGGAGAGGTGACGGGCCAAGAGAAGCCAAGTGGTGCAGGCCATTGTAGTGAGGAATCACATGGTGAGGGGGGGACAAGCCGAGGTTCCTTGTGTTGTGTGTACTCCCGCAGCCCTCACAAGGCAGGTTGCGTGCAGCGTGCGTGCGTGAGAGGAGGAGAGTGCGTGCAGCCAGCGGCTGACGGCCAGACTTACCTGAATCAGAGAAGAGGGAGACCATAATCCATGTCCAGAGTACAACTTATCCCATCCAAGGTTTTGGCCTACTACACACAGCGTATTCCACCCGCAAGGGGCACTCGCCTTAACATTAATTTCTGACAGATTCCGCCACTATCGCACTTCAAACTCATCCACTTTTTGCACTCAATGCCTCACTTTAACTCCCGCAAGCACTAGTTCGGTGGTAATTCCCTTGAACGTGGGTAGCTCTCACATGTGGGTGGGTGATGGGGCCGACACAGACACTCCCGGACGCCACCGACACAAACACTGACCCGGCCACACACACATCTGACAACGTCGCACTCCACTCCCGGTCACGTGACCCGCACCGCGCCCGCTCATTGGCTCCTCGCCCACCGCGGGAAAACATCACAGAAAAGCCGACGTTCAAAATGGCAAGCTCCAGCTCCCTCACATTCTTTGTGGCGGTCTGGCTGTCCCCCGGCTCCCTCATTAATCCCTCTCTCCTCCCACTATCATCACTCCCTCCTTATGCCTCCTACTGTCTATCTATAGAGACTCGCTAGGTAGATCTAACGCAGGTTTTTTCTCTTTACTCTCTCTCTCCCCCCTTCCATCTTATCTCCATAACAATCATTTGCAAAAATCGTGTTAGATGAGCGAGGGCTGAAGTGTGTTGGGAAGGACAGTAACGGAGGCGGGGATTGGCCCGTCAGGGTCGTCCACACGGGCTTGTTTAATAATAGCACCAATGGCGGCCCTCCGTGCATCCCCCCAGCGGCTGGTGGATTCACCTCCCCGCTTATCACTGCGCAACAACACATTATTAACTTATTTACTCGCTCCAGAATCCATCATATCCTTATAAATATTGGCTAATATTTGTGTTTTTATTTTAGTCAATTAGGTTTGTGAGGGCGTAGAGGGATTGGGAGAGGTTGAGGGGGAAGTGTTGAGGCGCGTGGGAACAGCTCCCACATGTAAACAAAACATTGGAACAGCTGAGAGAAGGCGCTGCTCCACGAGTCCCACCAATAACCTCATTTTCCGCTCATTATCTCCCTACCACGAGATATTAACTGTGTTCTAAGTAGTTATTAGGTGATAGCAAGTCCTTAGCCATGAACAACCAAGCCAAGCCATTCAGGGAAAGGCGGAATTTCGGTAAGTAAACACTTCAAGGCTCTGAGGGCCTTTGTCCATCACCATTTTCATAAGTGCGTCATCGGCCGATAACATCGTGTATTTGTCTCTAAAATTAGCCCGAGGTGTCCGAGGCTGTGAGTCAAAGTCTATATTGTCTCTGAATATTAGTAATTCGACATTTTTTTGTAGTTTATTAAATATCTGTGAAGTAATAATGTAAGTAGAGTGAAGGTTGTGAGAGGCATTCCTCGTCCAGATATTGACCAAGCTTCCCCAACACTTATTGATGAAACACTCGATGCACACTCGCACTCAAGGTATTGGAGCAATTTATGTGAAAGAGTTGCACTCGAAATGTTGAGGAAGCACTTGCTGTGCACTCACACTTTAGAGCCTACACACTTATCCTGGCCGGGGAGGATTTACTGGGTGCAAATCCTTAATTGTAGCCTGTTTAATTCGATAGTAAAATGAATACTTGGTTGTAAAATCGATTCTTCGCGGGGTCATCATGTAAGGACCATAGGATTAAGGACTAGCCCGAAACGCTACGAGTACTAGTGGCTTTAGAAGAATGTAACAACTCGTGTGTAGATATATATTAAAAAAAAAGAAAAAAAAGTCAATTGATGCATATTTGTACTTTAGGTATGGATACAACACAGAACTGAAGATGGCCCAACATTAAGTACAAATATGCATCAATTGACTTTTTTTTTTTTTTTTTTTTTTCACCCACCTGCATTCATGTAGTGGACTTGGTAAATTTTACCCATTTTAACCAATATGTCTTTTAAGTCGTGTCATTTTAAAGACGTGTACATGCTGCATGAAGATGTACATTTATCCAGAACAAAGAATACATGTGTGTCTTTGGTATTGCTCAATACTGCATTAAAAAAATATAATTAAGCAAAATTTATATAATTTGCTGAAAAATAATACTTGCAAAATTTTGTAATTGAAAGTATTGAGCCGTCCAGTGTTTGCGCAGAGGTTATAAGAGGGCACTTTAAATTAACGTTTTTCATAACGTTTTGAAACATTGAGAATTTCCTGCCCACCTAACCTATCAGAGGACCCTTAACTTACTGTTGTTGAAAAAAAAAATCCCAAATTTATTTTCATTTTTTTTTTCATTTTCAAATTACGTCCAAATTCGGCCATACGGGCAAACGGCCAAAAGTGACGTTCTTTTTAAGAGGACAGGTTGTTCTGGTAACAGATGATTGTGTAAATTACTTCATAGATGAAGAAATTGATTGAATGATATATAACTACATAAAACTTTAAATCTGATTTTGTTAGTTTAATGGCCATTAAGATTAATTTGTCAATGTGATCAACACTAATATTTTAATTTTTTAATGTGATCAACAATATTTTTCTGCACAATGTTTTATTAGAATTATTTTGAAATTTACTCATAAGGCATCCACCTCTTGTATATGACACGATCTTGCTTGATATAAAGATTAAATGCAGTATAATCTTGAACGGAACAGTATCATTTATAACTTGGTAGGAGAGTTTAATGTTCTGGTTACTGTATTAATTTATAACCTGGATTACCAATGATTGCAGCCCAGCGGCAGAGGGATGTTGAACAGATCAGGGAACAACATCCAAATAAAATTCCAGTGATCATAGAACGTTATCCTGGTGAGAGGCACCTCCCTCTTCTGGATAAAACAAAATTCCTTGTTCCAGATCATGTCACTATGGGAGAACTTGTCAAGATTATAAGGTTAGTAACTAATACATTGTGGCAGGGGTATTTAACCATCTGCCGATGCAATTGAATTTCAGAAAGACATGTCCCCTTCCTCAAATTCGTACAGGAATTAGCATAATTATATTTATATATAATCACTGATAATTTTACACAGCATCAAAGGTAATATATTTTGCCAGTTTAAAGTGTTATACAGGTACCATGTTGTAGTCAAGAATGTAGTTTTTAGACATATAGAAAAACAAGGGTTTTCAGACAGTACCATTATTGTGTTGAGGGAACAGTCACTGATAAATCTGTAGGCTATACCTTGACGAACTTAAAGTTGGAAAGAATTTTTCCGAAAATAGTTGCTGTGGATTGGACCAACAGGTTAACTTTGTTGCTCATTTTGTTTAGGAATTCAGGATGGCATTGGCCTTCTGCAGCAGAGTTGTACTACTTTCTTCAGTTACTATTTCCATGGGTCTTTTTTCAGGAACTTACAAGTTTTGCAACTCCTTTTCAAATCCTTTGCTGCAACTTCACATAATTTCTTCATTGATAATCTAAGAATAGACTTTTAATTTATTTTTCCATAACGCAATCAACTTTTGGAAATATGCCACCACCACCATTTTTCCCTTACGACATCCTTGTTATTCAGCTATTCAAGGGCCATCTGTGAAACGTTTACAATTTTAGCACGACTATTTTATTTTGAGAACAGGACAAATATTGTCCTGTACTATAAAAAAATTATTTTATTAATATAAATATATATATATATATATATATATATATATATATATATATATATATATATATATATATATATATATATATATAAAAAGTATCCACTCAATTTAACAGCCTATATGGGACTGAGCCCTAGTCGTTATTTACAGAGCTCCGTTATTTCCGAAGTTAAGTCGGGTCGGGTAATTTTTCAAGTAACATTCAGGTAGGATATATTTTATACTGTATAACTAAAATTAAATAAAGTTCATTGTGTAATTGCATTCCAATTTAGTGCACAGCCGACGATTAAGCCAGTTGCTGGCTGCTGCATGGATGATGTGTGAACACGCTCTGATCAAGTCCAGATGGGTGGGAAAAAATTGATTCATTCCTTTGTATTGAAAAATATTTCATGTATCAATCAGTGAGTTAATATTGTCTTAATAAAATTTTAGAGATGTGTTTTGATTTACCCTGAACAGTGCAGGTAATGTATTTTTAATGTTACGACACAGGCTGTGGCGGCCATGCCATAACAATGGAGATCGAGCCTTGTCACCGAGAGCTAGCCAAGACGAAATATTTTGAGCTCACCTTTTCTCTGCTGACGATAGAATATACATTTGCAGAGACTAATATGTAGCTTTTGTTGAAAAAAACAATTAATATCTTGTAATACTATAATAAAATTGGTAAATTGACTTACTTTTAATGAAGCTGAAGATTACGAAGCTGTGATGATTACGTCATCCTCTGCAGCGCTTGTTTTATATTGTTTATCTTGCATACAGGGTACATACTGTATGTACATTACACTTATTTTCAGGCACTCACTTCACACAACAGCTAGCTACTGCTTTACTACTAATTCACATGAGTTCTAATTCTACTTCACTATTGACAATTATGTTGAATGTTAAACTCTACTGCTGCTCGTGCATGAGAATATCCTTTATCAAGTTTCGTAATTAACTCCAGCTTCTGTGAAACCGTCAGGCGCTTCCTTTGGGTAACTTTTGGCATTTTGTAAATTAAAAAGATCACAATTACAGTACAGTAATATCCTTCACAATTGAAGCTAGCCGCGCGAGTTCACGGTAAACAATGGGAACACATGGCCCGGCGGAGTACATACTAGGTCCGTGGGAAAAAAAATACCTAGTGCCTATACATACTATAAAAGGTATTTAATAAGAAAACAAAGACTTTTGCTTAATAAAAACTGTTTATAATAAAAAATAATTTACAATTTTCTTCATTAAAGTGAATCATTTTAAAAGAAAATTAAGATGTAATATATGACTCTGGACGATCCAGGTCGGTGGCGGCCTGGTCGCCATGTGAGGGGACGCTGATGCCACAACAAACCCAATACAGACCGTCGGTAATATCGACCGCAGACCGGTATAGCAGGCTCCAGATACTGGGCTCCCAAACCGGTCGTTAATACCGGCAGATCGGTATAAAAGAGGCCGTTAAATTGAGTGGATACTGTATATATATATATATATATATATATATGGAAGGGAGTACCACCTCTGGCTGGAAGAAGGGGGACCCATAGCCTCGGAGGAAACTACACATAACGCATTGGAGGGAATGTAGGTCCCCTCCAATACAGTTTGTGTGTGCTTTCCTCCTACCACCCCCTTCCTTTTTTTTTTTTTTTTTTTTTAATATATATATATATATATATATGTCGTACCTAGTAGCCAGAACGCACTTCTCAGCCTACTATGCAAGGCTCGATTTGCCTAATAAGCCAAGTTTTCATGAATTAATTGTCTTTCGACTACCTAACCTACCTAACCTAACCTAACCTAACTTTTTCGGCTACCTGACCTAACCTAACCTATAAAGATAGGTTAGGATAGGTTAGGTAGGGTTGGTTAGGTTCGGTCATATATCTACGTTAATTTTAACTCCAATAAAAAAAATTGACCTCATGCATAATGAATTGGGTAGCTTTATCATTTCATAAGAAAATAATTAGAGAAAATATATTAATTCAGTAAAACTTGGCTTATTAGGCAAATCGGGCCTTGCATAGTAGGCTGAAAAGTGCGTTCTGGCTACTAGGTACGACATATATATATATATATATATATATATATATATATATATATAATATAATATATAATATAATATGCATATGCGAACAAGGCTGAATGACCCCCAGGACTGTATGCGACAGAAAACTCATACCCCAGAAGTGACTCGAACCCATACTCCCAGGAGCAACGCAACTGGTATCTACAGGATGCCTTAATCCGCTTGACCATCACGACTGGACATAAGGAAGTGATAGCCGAAGCTATTTGAACCACTTCCCCGCCGACACTCGGATGGTAGTCTTGGGCATAGCATTTTATCAAATCACCTCATTTGGTGACCATCACGACCATGTCTGGTCGTGATGGTCAAGCAGATTAAGGCGTCCTGTAGATACCAGTTGCGTTGCTCCTGGGAGTATGGGTTCGAGTCACTTCTGGGGTGTGAGTTTTCTGTCGCATATAGTCCTTGGGGTCATTCAGCCTTGTTCGCATATATATTATTTATTCATGGTACAATAGCTGGCTATGATTAATAAGCCTTTGCTGACATTTTGGCTCCCATCCTCTTCCTGAGTCACTTATAATGAGATCGGACATGAAAATAGTCTGTCTTGGGTTCAGATGTGCAACCTTTAAAGTCCGTCTCATAAATACACTACAATGTACTGTATATTGACACATTTATGTTGGTGGTTTATGTTGATGCAAGTCATCCAGTAGTGCAGTCATGAGAAGCACTAGGCTATCAAAAAGAATTTATTTTTGTTAAAGGCTTTATCATTTCTGACTTTCCTGTTACACTGTGTATAATTTTTCTAACAAGGCATATGCTATACACTAATATCTTTTGACAGGCGGCGTCTCCAGTTGCACCCTACACAAGCATTCTTCCTCTTGATCAATCAACGTGCCCTTGCCAATGTGTCCAATACTCTTGCTCAGGTACAGGATTCTATATTGTTTTATTTTCTTAATGTTCATATACTTAGAACTGTAGTATACTTAGAATTTGTTGAAAATACTCTTTAACATCTTCAGCTGTTTAGCATTATTTTAAAATAATAATTAATTAAAAAATAACCAATTTGGTGTCTCGGTTCCATGGCAACCGATGTGTTTGATGTGTAGAGTATTATCTGCTTAATCTCGTGGGTTTTCACTTTCCCTATCTTTTCCATTACCATTGTTTCCCCTTATGATGGCATCCAGTATGCATACAGACACTGTTACTGTGCATTGTGATGGTAGTGGTATGAAAAAGTCCATGTTGTATTACCCAGTGTGCAGAAGGTGGATAATATATAGAAATTACATGAGAGCTAGTCAGTATTAACACTTTGAGGTTCCACAGACTGATTATCTCGTCATATATTTTTCTACTGAATGTGTTCCAACGACGCAATTCTGAGTCACTCATTAAAATATTTTTTAAAAATTTAAATTTTATCAGATCAATCTTGTAGTGGTTTTAAAATAAGCGCCTTTAGATTGCACACAATTTGATACCAAAATCAAAGATATAACATGAAACTTGATGTCCAAACACTTGAAATATTATAAATAGGCCTATGGTCCGAATATTAAAATAATTGTTAAAATTCTATTTATTGTCCTATTATCTTGGGACTAGTTTTAAAATGCGCGCCGTTTTATTGCGAACAATTTGATACCAAAATGAAAGATGTAACCCAAATATTTATGTCAGAACACTGGAAAGATATAAATAAATTTGTGATGATGAGCGTCCAGAATTAAAATATTTGTTAAAAATCCAGTTATTGTTCTATTATTCTGGGACTAGTTTTAAAATACTCGCCTTTTTATTGCAAACAATTTGATACCAAAATGAGCGACCTAGCACGAAATTTGATGTTATCAAATTGAACGAGTTGAACATTAGGTTGCAATGTACAAAATGGTGCTCGTTCACGGGTAACTTTAGGCTTTTCTGCGGGGAGGCACTCCAGCCTTTTGTACATTTTATTCTTACACATCTGTAGGGAATTTAATTGCGAACACAATGATACCAAAACGAGCGACGTAGCACGAGAATTAAGGTAAAAAAATGGAAGGAGAATGCACATGTTACTGATTTTGTGCGTTTTTGCCGACTTTACGCTTTGCTGTTGGGAGTCACGCTAGGCTTTTGGACATTATATTTATACACAGCTGTAGAGAATTTAATTGCGAACACAATGATACCAAAACGAGCGACGTAGCGCGAGAATTAAGGTGAGAAAACTGGAATGAGTATACACATTTGGGTGTCACCGCGCGCTTACCCGCACGGAGGGGCCACGATCCCCCAGTCAACCGCGAGTTTCTACGGAGCGCGAAAGTGTTAAGATTGGTAAAAAAATTGATGAATCAATACCAAACTTATCACAAAGTTATATACAAGCATTAGGAAGTGTGTTACAATTTGTGGGGTTAGATCAGGTGCTCTTTTTAAGTTACAGTATTGTACATTTTAAGCAATGCCACATTGAATATGTACAACTTTCTGTGCCAAATAAAATATCTTAAGTTGTCCAAGAACACCTTAAAATTAGGTAAACAATCTCCCTAAAGGGCACATGTTATTACTGTGCTGAATTGACCTTGTAGTTCATAAATGGCTGCCAAACACCAAAATTGCTGAGCTTTGACTGGCAAAAATGAAACACGAACATGTGCAATTAACTACCACTAACCTTACTTTACCTTTAATCTCGAGAAGCCTTTCTTTGGTAAGTCTCATAGCAGTACTCGAAACAGGGAGCCCCACCATAAAGGAAGCATTTCATAACCGAAGTAAAGAAGTTAAACCAAGGTTATTGGTCTTTGCTCACAATACCAAGGAGGGTACCCTGAAACAAGAGTCAAAGCAGACTACAGTAGCAAGACATTCGGGTAACCCGCACGTACACATGTAAACAGTTACAAGTATGAACCACAAATACGTGGACAAAAGTCCAAATAGAAAGCTGGCACTTTGTCTGTAATTGGTGATTCGGGAGGGAGCTGTTTTGATTATTTCAGAGTTTGATTGGTGGTTAACCAATTCCCAAACATTCTCGAAGGTAATTTTAAGTGTTTTATTATAACCTTTCATTTACAGCAGTTCACCTTGATGGTCATCTCTTATTCTCACCCTTATGAGGGCACAGGTCAGAGTGAAATGGCACTTGCTGTGATGATTGCAGAATCATTTCATATTGGTCATGGCCCTTGTCTGCCAGTACAGCAAGCTGGGGAAGCAACCAAGGGGGTCTTAACCAGAACACACACATTGTGATTTGCTTAATTCATCACTACATTTTCACCAGGATCTTGCCCTTACTAATATTTCCCTTTTATAAACACTTAACTCTGTATCTGATTTGCTAAAGCCCTTACAAACAAAATTTTATCTACTAATAACGTCTGTTCTCAACTTTGATTTTTTAGACAATTTTTAGAACATTGTACTGTTTAATTATAATTACTTAACAAAGAAAGTGGGTAGACAGTAATGCTTGAAAACTTTTCAGGTTTATGAACACCATCGTCATGAGGATGGGTTCCTGTACATGGTGTATGCTTCTCAGGAGGTGTTTGGACAATGATCTTGCCACCTTTAAAGTACACACTTGCCAACCATCACATCACGCGTCATGTGTTTATTTACTGTCCTTATTCACCTGCTCCCTCAGTGTTGAGAGGCGGCAACCATTAGGTTCCACTAAGTTAATGCCCATCTCGGAATGGCCAGTTTGATTTATTTATTTAGGAATGTCATTTGGAAAAAGGATTTTTTAAGTGTGTGGTGGTATAAGTAATTAATTTTAATATTTTTTTGTTTTTATCTTTGAGCTTTGATTTATTATGAGTGATAAGCTTTGTTTTAAAGAATTTGATATACAGTACTGAGAAATAAGTCGCAATAGAGTGGCTGAAACGAATAACCCACCAACACAAAACATGAAAGGGGCCACGTAGATCCTTACTGTGACTTGGTAAAAGACCAGGGCGGACCTTAACGTCATCACTTTCATTGTGTGTGGGTCGAGTTATTTGGATACACTGTAATAACTACTGTACTTGAGAAGCAGCTATGGATCTGGATGTCTTAAGGTACATATGTATCAGTCTGCAATTTGTTTGTTACGCATTAACTGTGATAGCAAATCTAAAAATATAATCGGTGTTTTGCAATATTCAGAGCTAGACTGTCTCAACAAGGTTATTAATATAGAGTAACATTATATCCAACCAAAATACAGTTCACTTTCTGGAAATTATAGTTAACAAGTTGTATGGTAATTTCGCCCTTGCCAATATGCTACATGCTGCAAAGATGACAGTTTCTTAAGTTCAGAGGTTACAAGGAACTTTGTCAAGTTGCTACATGGATAAGGTTTCTAATAGAATCAAAGTGAACAATCCTTGCTGCTGTATATACAATTATGTAAAAGAAAAAATGTGTTACAGTTCCCATGCTAGCACTTAGAATTGTACTGCTGTGTTTTTATTACAGAATATATGTTGCATTTTTAAAGTGGTTCATTTGTTAAAATTTGTTACCAAATCCTTGGTATTTATATTTGGCCTAATAAACATGTGCTTCAGAGCCAAAAATAACAATCAATATTTGTTTAATGTCATCTTGTAATTGTGTTATTTTTTCTTGTGAAAGTCTTCATATAAATATACAAATTGCCTTTAATGTTTTGTAAGTTTGTATTTTAATTGAGAATAAGCATTCCTCTTTAATACAGTATATATATTTTTGAAGGAGGGGGGAGGGGGGTTTACAAGTTTTCCTGAAATTAGTTGGGAAGTTCAAGGAAATACTGTATTCTCTTCCTAGGTCTTAAACAGTTTAAATAAATGATCTCTGCAGGAAGCCTTTGTGATTGCAATTTTTGTACCTGGATTTAGATTTTCAATTATGCTTTAAATTTGTTGTAAAGTTTTCACAACGACAAATTCTACATATTTAATGATTGTATTCAGTGACTAATCATTGGATTTGATAATAATAGAACATTAATCTTAAGAGTACACACAGAAATCACATTAACACGATATATCAAATGAACAGATCCACAAGGGCCTTTATGAGGGTTCGAACCTATTCACCAGATGGTCCCAAACGCGCTCTAGTCAGCTGTACCACCACACAGTAATTCTACTATGTCCTGGTACAGTTGCTAGAGCGCGTCCGGGAACATCCAGCGCATAGGTGTGAACCTTCATCAATGCCCTTGTGGATTTGTCAATCTTAAGAGTAGTGGCCATCACTTCCACAACAGTAGCTTCGTTAAGATGTATTTGACCTGAGAGTGGGCGTGTTTACCAGGGGGTGTCCATGTATCGTATGATTTGAACTTATAGTATTTGTAATGACTAACTGACCACTACCTAAATGGTTATATGTTAAGTTTTACCTGTCATTACTCTTAACAGGTCAGTCTTTACAGAGAACACTTAAGTTTGTCTGGCCTCTGCTCCTCTGTTGTGCAAATAAGTATTGCTTTAGTTCTTTACCCAGTTCTTCTGTCCATTTGGTAATACAACTTATACGCATATCAATAGCAGTTCCATACTCTGTAGTCTTTTCTCTTGTACGTTGGTAATTGATGGGCTCTATATACTCTAGATATAATGTTTGCCTTGTAAACTTTTAATTCTTAACTCTACTATCGTCCTTTGACCTATAAAATATATATATCCTAAATATAAAAAAAATATTACCTTTTTTTTTAAATACTTTCCTGTACTCTACCCTTTGCCATACAAGCACACACATTTATTATTGTGATTGTTTTACATCCCTTGTTTTCGATAATGAATTCTAACGCCTGTTACTAGACTGGTGTTTTCTTCAAGCAATATTCCTCAGCCTACCTCATACTGAAAATTAGCGCATGATATTTTACATATCCCATATTTATATTTCCTTTTATTTATAATTGGTTTTTATTGCAAATGTATCTGTGTCTGCCTTATTATAGGTATCACAATTATCATCATTATACTGTATGTAGTTTGAACTCTGGTGGCATTTACCATGGACAGTACTACTGGAATTTGAGGCTGTCACGACTGTTCGTCATGGTTTTGCAGGACGAACAATTTTAGTTTTGATTTTTGTGCATTCTACAGCTGTGTACATTTGAAACAATAACACAGGACTGTCATCACAACAAATTGCTACGGGGACAAATGTTTTGCTTGCAAGCTTCAGTGAAGATTACTTTTTCAAAGAGGTGATTAATAGTACACAAATTTATTTGGTTTATTTAATTATGTTAACTTTGTCATAAACATGATTTATTATCTACAATCTTATGAACCCTTATTGTGCCAGGGTGAGGTAGAAACACCAAGCCATGTAAAAGTATAAATCTTTTATCACCTTGTGACATGGTTATATAATTTCTAATGATTTTAAAGCATTTTCATATTGCTTATGGTTTTAACCAAATTGCTGAACTACATAAATTTAAATGGGGTGGCAGTGTCTGGTTTAACAAGGGCATTGCCGCTTTGATCTTAATACCAGTCTGCAGAAATGTTGTTGCTGTTCAAGCTGTACTATGTATTGGGTGCATTTTGCCTTTAGGGAGATGTACTACACAATATATTCACTTTAATAGACAAGGGCTTTTGCTCTACAGTATATTTTTTTTCATTAAGTATTTTGGCAAACTTTTGTTGTCTGTAGCTGCCTGCAGTGACTCAATGTGAAGAGTAGAAACAGGGAATCATGAGTGCAAGTCTATAAAATTCTATCAAAGTAAATTATGCATTTTGAAATTAAAAAAAAAATTTGTTTTAAGTAAATACAGGTACTTAAAATATTTAGCAGTTAACACTTAAGTGAAGCCAGTGTAGCCAAGAGGAGCAAGATGAATGCCTCGGCATAATATAGTCATACTGGCTTGGGGCTTTATCTAGTTCCTCACCTTACAACCCACAGATTATCAGTTGGAAGTTTATTAAAATGTTATCCATAAATTTTAACCAAACAAATGAGATTATAAAAATAACGTCATGAAGTTGTTGGAGGGCAGAATATGCAGCGGTGTGCAGTTGCATCGTGCAGCCGCTTCTATACTTTGTATAAAAGTACTTTGTTAGTAATTCTATATTAGACTACAAAAATGTTGAGCGCTTTTGGTTATAATTAATAAAGACAATGTACATTCAATAAAAGCTAATTTTACGTCTAAGATGTGTAAGCCTAACCTGTAAAACATACAAAAGGAACTTAGCATTAGATAAATGATAGAGCAGAGGAGCTTAAAACATTACATGATTGTTGTGGTTAGTCTAATCCAATGTGGCACTTCACATCATACTGATGTTTTTGGATTTGGTGTTAGCAAATGTTTGTAACTAAAGCTGCATATATGTATATTTGGATTTGTAGCAAACAATTGGCAGTTTATATAATCTGATGTCGCCTGCTGGTTGCATAAATATAACTGCGTAATTAAAAAAAATAAGTTGAATGAACAATTAAGTTGCACCTAATTTATGAATTATTCTTAGAGCCATTGAATGTGGATAAATTGTCTTGCTGCCTACTGCAGTAATATTTGTTTTGGGGCTTTCATAGTAATTTTAAGATGTAACATTTGGATGTAAATAAAACGAAGTTTTCCTTGTACCCATCTTGCTGAAGAATTATATGTTTTTATACTGTACATTTGTTTGTTACTCTACCTTTGTTAAAGGATTTTGTTATTTATGACGAAATTTGTTATGCAAGTGGAGCAGACAAATTGGACTCGAATTATCAATGGAGACTAGTCTCAAAGAAGTGAAATTGCTTCCCACTTTCCTTTTCTCATTTTCATTCTCCCCCCCTGATAAAAAGTACCTAGTTTCTTTTTCCCCCAACCTTTAGATAATCCCGTCAACCTCTTTCATGCCCCATCACTGCCCACCACATTTGGTCTATTCCCCTTTCTCCCTGTTTTTCATAATTGCATTAATTTCATTGAATATCATTCATATTTATCAACTCGGTGGCCAACATGCCTGCAGAACATTGGATCAATGAGAAAATCCATAGGAGCCAAGAGGAGGAGTCCAATCTCCCCATCAAGTTACTGATTTTTTTGTGCTTTTGTACAATTTAATCAATGTTGACACTGATTCAACATTATTTGCCTAACATATACCCACTGGGAAGTACATTTTTTTTTCCAAGTGAGCACAATATCCAATAGTAACTAATTTAATGTTGAATTAACATTAGTCTTGGATATTGTGCCCACCTAGTATGTTCTTGTTGCATTCAAATTCTCTTGAAAAGACATATTACATTTTTAGCCTCATATTTTTTCTGTTAATTACATCTGTTCTACTTCATACATCAGACTATTATAGTCTTAATTCTCACATAACAGACCAAGACAATTTTGTTTCAGTTAAAATACCCCTTGATAAACATGATAAGCACAGCTGAAGAGTACTTGATCAACGAGGTTGTGATTCATACATTGCAGCGACTTCCAACAGCTAAGTCAACCAAACCATCAATCTGGAGGCCAGACTAGAGACAGGACCATGGGAAGCATTGATCCTTGGAACTACTTCAAAGGTAAAGTAACAGTAAAGAAGATGAGTTTTTTAATGCAATACTATTATGGTTATTCTAAGTTTTCTCCAATATACTACACCCATTTACTATACAACTTGCTTAGTCATACAGGCTTAATTCTTTTATCTTTGTGATAAATACAAGCACAACATGTTGAAAACTAATCTATAATGAGCTTAGTGTGTTATCTTTGTCCTGTTTAATGATGTAAATAAAGTTCTTAATATATCATTTCTGTTAGGTGCCACCAAAACTTCACAGTGGGGAAGGGGCATTTGGAAATACTGTATATATTTATATAAATATTATTTATTGGTTTAAATAATTTTTGTGAGGTTTATATACAAAAGAAAACCTTTTTTATTCTCAAGCATTCAAAACATGTTGATGTACTACCCTGATGGTTCCACCATGCATTCTTTTTAGTTACAAACTTGAGTGGATAGATTTTTCCACATGAATTCCAAAAATTCATGGGTGTAATGTGTGACTAGGAAACCGATTGACAATCAGGTTGTCAATCAGTTCTGCAGTATTGGTGTTATGTAGTTTGAAGACAATTGTAATGTTACTCACACTGGGTTAAGCAGTTTTGTACATTGAAAACCACATCAAAATTCAATGCCAAGTTAAAAATGTTTACCTGTGAAAATCAAGCCATAGTTTCCTTAGTAGGTACTGTTGGGTCATCAGGACTTTGAGAGGAGTGTGGAAACACGCAGTTACTTGAACAAAATGCACTAATAAGTTTTCCATCCACACCTTGAGTAAGGAGAATGGTTATTAGCCACAACATGAATAATACAAATCTTAACAGTTTTAAACACTTATTATTGTCAATTTAAAATTTACCAAAGCAATTTACAAACTTTTTAAATAAATTAGTAGTATATTACAGAAAATTTCATCATAGAACACACACATCATCCAATATACATAGTTCATAAAGAAAGTCATTTGCTCAAAAAGAATGGATTCTTTTACAAGTATACACCTACAGTCACATAATAAAACAAGAAATCTCTGCAGGTTAAATATTCAACATGTAGAGCCATACTAAGGAGGCACACTTGTGGTAATTATACTCCAGAAACCATGCTTAAATGTTATTAAAATAATTTTGGTTTTGCAGTGTCAAGTTGAATGTGCAGTCAGAATATGCATGCACACCATCTTGGAAATATATGAGCATTATATATCTGGCAGAGAGCACACTTAAATGGATAACACCAAAACATGCTCCGGTATATTAGCAGCAATACATCGTGAGAATGTTTCAACTTTTATGTGTGTCCTCAGTGAGGGCCAAAGGCTCTCATTTAATATGGTAATTCCTCTTTACATGAAAATCCTTAACAGTAACCTGTCAATGTTGCTGAAGTTGACGAGTATAGCCTATGGAAGACAAGAAGATCCGATCACATGGTAAGGGCTTTCTTTTAAAAAATTTAGCCTGACCTCCATACCAGCGAGGGCATGACACTTCAGGTCATCTGTCTACTGTAGAAAGCCTGTGATGGCACACGTACACAACCCAATCCCTAAGGGAAAGTTAGTGATGAATGCAGGCGATAATGGTAGACCACAAACTTAGAGCTTTAGTCATGACAGTGCATTTCAAAATATATAATTGATTTTGAATTAAGTTAATTAATCTAAGGTAGGATTGTACCTCTTGAAACTATTTCCTAGGTTTTTGTGATAAAAATTGACTATATATAAATAATACAAGTACTGCAGTATAACATTCCACAGAGGTCAATATCCTAAACACAGGTTTCTGAAGTCCACTACGGGCTCACCATAGCCCGTGCTGCTTGGAACTTTTGTTCCGAGTAGCTGAATCTAAAACAACAACAATTATAGGTTTCTGGGAGTTATTTTGATTGCCAACAAATAGTTATGGAAAATGTTAATTATTTGGGACTTCAGAGTATTTGTTTCTTAAACTTAGTCTTTTATTACTATTAATGTTATACTTTACTAATGAAGAACTTCTTACCACAATTTGCAATAATGAACTTCTTATCAACACTTTAATATCTGCATGATCAAACTGAAGCCTAATTGGCTAATTAGGACTAATAATGAGCTTGTATACATGGTCATGGATTCTTTGGTATTAAAATATTCAGCCTATAATTGTCTTATTTTCAGATTAAGGTAATTATATATTTTAAAACTTTCATTATTCATTTTCCTAACTATGAATAAAATGAAGGCCAGCCTACAGGAACACAACAGGGCTGCTTTGGTGCTCCAGGCTCACCTTCCTGTCATACCCCCCCCCCCCTACCCCCCCTCTCACATGTATACCAGAATGTGCAATCATCAAAAAAAAAGTTAAATAAAAATGTACTGATTTGATTTGAATGAAAACAGTACCTGTACTAAAGTACTAACATTACTAAAACTGTACAAGTAGGAATGCTAGCTTGGGTCTTAACTTTAATTGAATTGATTTTCCATCTACAAATTACTTAAGATTTATTTTTATTCTGTATAAACATGGTAATCATTCAACACCTTCCATAATTCCCAATGCCAATCACGTATTAGACTATCTGATGAATAATGATGCAGGCGATAGAAGCGTAGAATACAGTATATGTATGCATATACATACTTAATACGCAGTATGCATTTGTAAAATATAAAATAAATATAATACAGTAAATGGCAACTGTTTGACCAGACTTCTATTCTCCCACAAAATTTGTCATTCACACAGCACAAACTCTGCTGCAGCCCTCCCTTATAGTTCCTTCCTGAAGCCACAGAATATTTTGCCTAGTGCCCATACAGGCCCTGCTAACACTTGTGAGGGAATTACCAGGGGAAAGCACCAAGCCTATATGACTGACTATATAGCACTGGGAAGGGGTCCGGATAAGGATTTGGGATGGGATGGGGGAAAAGGAATGGTGCCAAACCATTTGGACGGTCGGAGATTGAATGCCGACCTGCAGGAAGCGAGATTGTTGCTCTACCGTCCAGGCCTTAGTGGTTGGTAACAATACTTGCGAGTGCATGAAATGTGTGAGAAACTCGGCATTTACAGGCAGCAGCTGGAATAGTTTTCAGTTTCTAGAATGATAGTGAAAGCCCTAGTTCACCAGGACAATAGAGAAGGATGCATGTGAATCAAACAGGGGTGCAGCATGAATTTAAACACTGGTGTGTGTGTGGCATGAATCAAATGTGGGTGTGGGATAAATCTAACCCAGGTGTGGTATAAGTGAAATGTGGGTGTGGCATGAGTGAAACACTGGTGAGGAGTGAAACATGGGTGTGGTGTGAGGGAAACGGGTGGTAATGAGAATGAAACAGCGGTGTGGAGTGAGCGAAACATGGGTGTAGTATGATCAAAAGATCATATTCAAGAGCAATACAAAGACAATGTAAATGGCATTTGTGGAAAATTTGTGACCTAGAGCTGATGTAGTCAAGATGAACAACCATGTCGCAATGTTCAGAGATACAATATTTTATTAAACTTGAGGAGTAGGATGAAAAGAGAGGAAAAAGATTGGACAAATATGGTAAGAGTGCAAGAAAATGTGGCATACATTAAACAGTATATAAAGTGGCAGTAAACAGGACTTGGTGGAAGAGGTTACTTACTAAAGGGTTCCCACTCTCAGGGTTAGGAAGCCTGTTGGACTTGCCGAGGTTTCTCCAGGCCAACGTCTGGCTTTCCCTAGGACGTAACTTCAGTTTCTATTAACATACTTTGTTACATCCACATTTATGCACAGAGTCCAAACCATAGGAAATGACAATCGTTACCTAAATGCCAGGTGTATTTATTGTTGATGAAGAGAGGCATCAGGTGTAAGGAAGCATTCCAAAATATTTCTTCTATATGAAATTCAAACCTGGATCTTTTGGATGTGAGCCGACTGTTTGACAATTCGCAAGGGTTACTTTACACCTAAAGTGTGAAGTGGATGACATACTACGGTACTGTGATATTTGGCTTGTGTGGTGTTAGTTTCCTCCGATACCGCTTCTTTTGTAAATTAACATACGAGAATTTAACTAATAACTTATTCTACCATACCATGAGCTGCTACTTTTGTACAGATTAATTTGCACTGCTTCTAATGCCTGTGACCCACTTTTCCTACAAAAATTGTCTCAACTCTCTGGGCAAGTGTCTCCACCACATGAAAGTGAGAGATAAGGCTGACTGAGCCAATTACTGTAAAGGTTAATCTCCTATATCAGAGATGGGTTAGGTGCAGAAAGATTGGCAGAAAGGCCATAGCTGGTTGAAACTTACTAATGTACTGTATCTAAATTCCAATTTCCACCAATATAATCCGAGTATATTAAATTCTAGCTTTTTTCCCCCCCCCCCCATGACCAATACGCTATACTTTGTCTTCTCTGTAAAATAGACTTATGAATGTATATTATACATCTTAGTCATCAATGCAGATAATTTGAAACTAGCTACAAGGGCTCAGTCAAAAGTTGACATCAGAAAACTTGTCTTCGTTAATACCAGTAATTAGGAATTACGAGAATTCAAGCAAAAAATATGTGCAAATAGCACATAGGTTTTTTTATCAACTGAAGTTGACAGTTGAATGGCAGCATGTCTTCCTACACACTACAAGTTTAAACGGCATGCTGGAACATCCAGTATAGAAAAAAAATATCAACAGTTATACCCTTAAGCTAGAGCAATGACTAGTCAAAGTGAGGATAAAACTACAGAACTTTAGTGTGTACCTAATAAAGCACTTACAGTATGAGCAGCTTATAATTTGTCATTTTCCAGAGAGAATGAGAACGAATTCGGGAAAAAAAATAGAGAAAGTGAACACAAGTACAATGCTGTGTAAGCATTTGCACATCTGTTATTATATTGATAATTTTATTGTGCATTTTTTCCACACTTCTGCAGACATAGATGGCAAAAAATTTAATAGATAACACAGTTTTGAGACTTAAATTTAAAGCAGTTTCTCCAAAGATGCCAATTCTAAAAGAATGAGCTGGAAAGTTTATATTTACACATAGTAAAATTTGTACACCCCCTAAAGGGAAACAATTGTGAATGGCATAATTGTTAAACTAAATAATGCTCACTACACTTGTTTGCATGACCACCAACAAGTGAAAATAAAATGTCACCAGTTTACACAAACCTTCAAACACAAGGGCATCATGCATGCTTTTGAAGGACGTATGTATCTCCCTGTCCAGATTGATTATAGTATCACCAACTGTATAAATAAGACTAAAGAACTACTCTGTATGAAAAACAAGTTTAAAATCTTTACTACATCATTAACTATGATCAAAATTAATTTCATATTTCCTTTGAAATCATCTAACTTGTCAACAGAGTCTAGGTCTGAGCTAAGGCTGTATCAATTCTTGTATTCAACGAATCTAAAAATATATAAATTTAAATTGTTGAACAGAATGATATATCATTGTTGGGTATGGAAAGCCTGATAGGCTTTTTGCCCCTTGTCAGGGGCAAAACTGTCCACAAGGTTGCCCAACCACTTACTGGCCAGGTCAAATGATGCTTAACTGATATCATCCACTGCCTCATGCCATTGGGTATAGTTATTTTTGGTATCATGAAAACTTTTATTGCATGTGGTCTCATTATACAATACAAGGCATATGGGGGGGGGGGGACCTTCGACAAGCCGGCAGCTTCCTGTCCTCGTCGAAGCCACTAGGGTTAGTGGCCTTCAGGTAAATCGGGGATTATTCAACTTCCTAAATCATTCATAAAACAATATGTATACTGCATGTCTTAGGCTAATACTTGCCGATTTAGTCACCATCAGTACTCCAATACTGTACCATGCTGTAAATGTCCCGCAAACAGTAACATCTCTTAGCCACAAAATGCTCCATAGCCAAAGATGGATAAAATATTTATCCAAGAATGGATAAAATATTTATAAAATATTTATCCAAGGATGGATAAAGATAAATTATAATAATATAATTAAATTTAAAGGATGTAGTCTTTTGATCAATTGGCATATGACAAGAACTAATCGCTTTGCTGAACACAAATTAAATACAATCAGCCAGGTGCTTTCCAAACCCCTTGGGATTGAGACTGAATGGATAATCTGTTTGGATAAGTGGTTTATCATCCTGAAAAGCTAGGAGGGAAAAAAATAAAATTTTGTTGCAGAAATTTGACTGTTTTGTTTGTACTCACTAAAATGTGTGAAGCTCTGATTCGCTTGTTAATTTGAAGATTATAGTTGATGGAGCATTGTTATTTAGATAGAAAAGGTGGGTGGTGGATGATAGTGTTGGGCTGACTGACATCGCTGATTAATGGCGATGGGGTAACCTCAGCAGACTGCCTTTCACCGTGTACTCTAATGTACCTAATGCCACGGCAGAGTTCAAAGCTTCTGAGCCATCCATTAGTGTATGAACACCGCTCAAGTGGTGCTGTGTGCGGTCACTGCCAAATTAGTTACATCTTTAGTGCACATTTTTATTCAAACTGCCTGTCCCACCAGTTATCCGTCCTTTTTGTGCGAACTAACCCAAATTGGATAACAGGCACTTTCGGGAAAAAGGCATTTGTAAAGCACGTGACAGACTGCAATGTCATGTGTGATACAAATATTTGTTATGGTGCATCTTTTGTGACTTTTCAAATCCTAATTCTCAATGCAAATGAAATTATCTGAAATTTCAATAACCAATACATCTGAAAATTATCATACTATCAAATGCTATTTAAGCATGCTGATGAAGTTGAAAAAGGTTCTGTAGGTTTCTTCAAGTCTCTGCTTCCATATACTTACAAATTTCCTTTGTATTTGGCACACACCAGATAAAAAAATAGGTAGCTCGTCTAACACCCAGAATATCAGCAATAGCCCCTCTACCAATGTCACACTTCAAACACTAAAGCTTTTGCCTGATGCCCTACTATTAAATGCATTTATCTGTCAATAAATTGTACATTCTTATGCTTTTCCAAATTCTTGTAAGCAGATACTGTATATATATATATAACTCGTGGAATTTATTTAAGAAAATTATAAACACCGACATTGTAAACTAGTTTTAATAAATATTTAATGGAAGCCATGACTATCTTCACTTGGAAGTCTTTTGATTTTATTCCCAATAATTTGTTTGTATAAACTACATTGCAGCCCAGAACTGAGGATTACTATTTTTAGGGGTTGGAGACTCGTCGATACAGTAATGCAATCATCAGGCACTCCAACTTACATCTTAACTACTGTATTCCGTGAAGCCCTCCGTTACATCTCGGCTTTGAGTTGCTGCTCTTCAAGAGCATTGCTGCCTGTTAGCACTTCAGCTCCAAGAGGGTGCTTACCTAGATCATCTTTAAAGGCAATGAGGCCAAGGTGAGCATGTGAGGCCTCATTAAGGGCGCGTGAGGTAATGCAGGCACGGTACTGGTCAGCAGAGAGAGAGGTGGAACATTCCTTTGGATGCCACAAGTGGAATATTCCTGGGTCCGTAGAACGGATCACTGAAAGTCTAGACTTAACATATCTGAAAAGGATACCCAAAAGTCCAGGCTGAGTACATCTGAAAAGTTCATTTCTTTAATATATTTTGTATTAAACAAACATCAAGAAATACTATACACAAAATTTAATTTGTATTCATTTAATCATGATATACCTCGTAACTGCAGTATGCAATTTCTAAAATTATTTACAAATGCTTACATTATAAGTGCAATAAATACTACATGCTATATGATAAAAACAATGTTGTCTGTAGTAATTTGAAGGTGGTGATGATGATTTTGGCAAAGGAAGAAATATTTAAGCACAAGATGACAGGGACCAATGTCCACAACACTGCCCCACCATTACACGCTATTCTTCACTGGTGCAGCAAGCTGATGATGCAACCCATAGTGTTAGTGTATAATATGCTATAAGCAAACCTTAATAAATTTGTAAAGAGCCAATATTTTAGACGTAAGAATGGATGGGAATGTAGATTATATTTCTTGAAATAATTTTCTTGAGAAGGAAAATATATATATATGAGAAGTTGTAGCTAACACGAATGTTGACAGTCCACTAAGTATATATGGGGACCTTGTCAGCCCAATTTCCTTAGCCTTCTCACGTGGACAAGTAAATTTTGCAATATGGGATAAACACAGTATTTAAATATTTTTTATTAAACAATTTAATGTACTGCAGTAGCTTTTGCTGAATAATAATTTGTGGATGTGATTGTGATCACAAATTTAATGCGAAAGTGTAAAAGAAATGGAAAAGCTAGTAATGAAAACCCAACAAGCAATTCATTGAACAAACACTTAGTAAATTGTGTTACATAAAGAACTTACTTGCGATAGAGTAAGACATCTTCACCACCCCAGCCTATAATATCCTCATCAAAGCCTTGGACACTCAAAAAGTCTGATCTATATTGGCACGTCATCCCATAGCCAAAGTCACGCCAGAACCCTGTGTCTCTAGAGATCACTAATTGGTCCAATTCCTGTAGGCAAAAATGTGGTTTCAATTTATAAATGTTTCCAATTATATATATATTTTGCACAGATACAGCTTTTTAGTACAGTATTCTACATATGTAAAAATTATATAATAAGGCAATTAAGGTGTAAGTACAAGAACCAGCTCATCTGGTCATCACAAAGCAGTCTAAAATACACACACATGTAAGTGCAAATTACTTTAAATCTAAACTGGAATATGGTTATCAAGGAGTACAGTACTGTACACAAGTTGAGAAAATAGTCAGGTACTTTATACAAGTTACTGAAGAGGTAAAACAAAAAAAATGATTGCCAACAGTTTGATGTCTTAAAGAAGGTATGATAGAATATTGGTTCAAAGGCCAAGTGCTACAACTTTATATCGCTGAGCACAATATGTTGCAACCAATGTTAATAACCTTTGTATCTCACTTTTTGTATGGACATAAGAAATATGTTAATTTTGGTCTTTCCTTAAGAAACATGAGCTAAAGCACAACACACCTGAGGTACAGGTTTGCCCTGGAGAGGATAAACCATATTGGGATTGTACAGGGAAAACACAACGGGGTAGTACACAGAATGACCTGGGGAAGCATTCAGACGACATCGTTCCAAGAAACGAGTGCTGAACACAATGTCCACATCACACATGAACAAAAGTACATCACCTTTGGACCAGTGGGTGGCACCAACCTGAGAAAAGAATTAATCTTTTAATTTAAACTATAGCAATTATTATTATTACAGCTAAATGGTTGACATGTGCAAATATACTTTGCAATACTTTGACATTAATTTTGTACTTTTAACCAGGTTAAACCTTTCCAAACTGTTTACTTTCTCTCAGTGGATATACAAAAGTACACCTTGTTTAATATTTAAGGCAAAAATAAGGTCTTGGGCACAAATGAAATACTCTTTTCTGAGCAAGGCATTCAGTTGTTCACTGAGGGAAGGTCTTGTTGTCCCAATGTTCTACCAAGATGCCATCAACCATGCACATCAGATCATACTAGTGCAAGGGGAAACGCTGCAGATTACTCAATCCAGGTTGAAATGACCTCGAGAAAACTCTTAACTATACAGTACTTGGAGCCCTTCCAAGTGTTATTTGTCACCAGATGGATCACCAAGAAGTGCTATCACTAATTGCTCGTTGACACGCCCACTGCTCACCAGCGAGTCAAGGCACCCTGACTCTGCGTCCCTAATGTTCCAATTCACAAAAACCACAAAAAAAAAAAGGACAGGAAAAGCCAGGACAGAAGGGAAGGAATGGGAGATAACAAGTGCCTCTCTCAGAATAGAGTTTTTACCTACACTTGAACCTTATTTCTCAGATGCACCTTTGGTTGCTTCCTTAGGCAAGAGAACTCCAGGAGGCAGGAAATACAAAGAAAAACAAGGAGGATGAACTGACCCGTGCTGAAGATTGGTACCAGCTGGAGCAGCAAGGGAAGAAAGCAGTCCATGTTCAGGGAGACACATTAATTCTGGTACTCAGATCCCACGCCAAAACACATGCTCATCTGGAAAAAAGCTGCCCAATAGCAACACATTGGCTGTAAATGTACAGTTCGACCACCAAAACACCTGATCCCAAAGTCAGCAGAGGATATTAAGGAGAAGAATGTCTTCACGGTAGCAGTTCTTTGCAGATTACAAGACAGTGATAAACCTGTAGATACCATTGCAAAGATACAGCTAGACAGAAAATGACAGTTGCCAAACAAATAAAACATACACCAAAAAAGATAAAACCAGAATGCCAGAGGAAGAAATGCAAAAACCCAAGAGCCAATAGACAGAGCTAACAATAACTGAGAATCAAATCCAACAAATAAGGGCAACTCTCAATACAGTGTGATAGGATAATTAGGTCACATGGAAGAGTGGGTCTGTACATTAGGGAAGACCTTGTATGCTTGGAGCTCCTTAACGTTACAAGTGAGGTGGTAGAAGTACTGGGATTAAAAAGAGAAAAACTTAGTGATTATTCTAAAATACAAACTGCCATATGCAATGGCCGAGGCATTCACAGAACAAACAAAATAAAGAATAGCCTTGATAATTTGGAGAACCCGATACCTGATATTATCTTCCTAGGTGACTTCAACTTGCCTAGTCTCAGATAGAGAATAGCAAACAATAATATTATACCATGAAATCTATCGGGACCTAACCAACCACAGATTAGAGAACTACTTAGATTCTGTGACAAATTTTCACTCAACCAGCAGATATCAGAGCCAACGAGAAATGAAAATATTCTAAATCTGGTCTTTATGAACAATGAAGACATTATCATGGACATTACGATATCAGATACCACGTACTCGGATCACAAGCTCATTGAAGTGCAAACGACCATCAATACTCAGAATAGACCTAAAATGTTGATCAAGCAAGAGGGGGTTATTCAGTAAATTCAATTTTAATAATAAAAGGATAGAATGGGAGAAAATATACAGGGAACTTAAACATTTCATGGGAAACTGTTCTAAGCAATACAAGTCTTACAGAAGGAATTGAAAAACTGACTTCGGAAGCGTATCAAGTCTGTCTGAAACATGTTCCTTTGAGGAAAGCCAGAAAGAGATCCAACGTAGAAAGAGAACGCAGTCGACACTATAAAAGTAGGAAAAAATAACGGAAATGCTTAAGCAGACACGACTTTCCCGTCAGAGAAGAAATAATTTAAATAGCAAGATTGAAGAAATCGAGCGGAAATTGAAACATATCAAACTGAAGAATGGCAGTTAGAACAGAAAGCAATTCAGGAAATAAAGAAAAATCCAAAATACTTCTTCACATATGCAAAATCAAAAGCAAAAACCACTGCCAGTATTGGAGCTATTCGTACAAGTAAAGGTTCATACACGTAGGATGACAAAGAAATTAGTGAAATCCTAAAAAAGAAGTATGAGGACATGTTTAGCACTCCAACAAATAACATGAAAGTGGAAGATCCAGACAATTTCTTTATGCAGGATATCCAAACCCCTGTAAATTTAACTGATATCAACATGAGCGTACTAGACTTTGAAAGAGAAATTGAAAACATGCCCATGAACTCTGCTCTGGGTCCAGATTTATGGAATTCGATATTTATAAAGAAATGTAAAGTGCCGGTAGCACAGGCACTCAGTATAGTATGGAGGAAGAGCTTTGACACGGGGCAATACCAGATGCACTTGTAACAGACATAGTCCCTCTACACAAGGGAGAGAGCAAAGCATTGGCAAAGAATTATAGACTAGTTGCACGAACGTCCCACATAATAAAAGTATTTGAGAGAATGATTATCCTATCATTTTTCTGGCCGACGTAATATTTGCTTGGTTATGCTCCCTAAACATTAGGTCGTCAGACATCACTATTCCCAAATCCTTTACATGCTGTTTTCCTACTATGGGCAGATTTGATTGTGTTTTGTACCCTGTATTATGTTTCAGATCCTCATTTTCACTGTACCTGAGTACAGTACCTGGAATTTATCACTTAAACATGTTATTTTCTGCTGTCCAGTTGAAAATTTATTAATATCTGCTTGCAGTTTTCAATGCCTTCAACAGAGGTAATTTTCATGCTGATTTTTGTGTCATTTGCAAAGGATGATATGAAACTATGCCTTGTATTTTTGTCTATATCTGAGATGAGAATAAGGAAAAACAGTGGTGCAAGGACTGTACCCTGAGGTACAGAGCTTTTAACTGTGCTTGGACTCGATTTCATATAGTTGACTGTTACTCTGTGTTCTATTCGACAGGAAATTGAGTATCCAGTGTTCTACTTTACCAGTTATTCCCAGTGACCTCATTTTGTGTGCTATCACTCCATGGTCACCTTTATCAAATACCTTTATCAAAACAGCTTGCGATGTTCGGCAAACCAGGGCTGCTATTTTCCAAATTGTTTCTAGAGTCATGCTAATTCTCGCATTGAAATCTTCAGAGGCTTCTAGGCAGAGTTACTTTGCATGGTGCATCCCATGGGCTGCTTCCATCATGGTTTTAGGAATTCTCTTTCCTTTACAATTTCCTTGTGGATATTTTGACTGGGGGCTCAGTCCTTAGAGGCTATCCACTATGCAGGTTTGGGGTTTTGATCTCTGACATTGTGACAAGACTTGCATCTATGCTTGGAAAATGGTCAAGCTGAGCCAGCTAGAGTTCTTCAGTGCCTCCCTAACATCACTATGACCCAGCAAGGGTATGTTGCAAGATCTCGCCTGTGTCAGTATATTATATGTAACTCTGCCCCAACTATAATAAACATGTCTAATGGGACACACACAGTTAACTTGAGCTGGGAATGTTGTAGGCAACGTTCGAGTGTCATATTTAGAACAAAGGTTTATAACCTCATTCAAAGCATGATTTTTAATGTACAGTACAATATTGTTATACTGTACTAGACGTGAGCAATGTCTTCACCCAAGTTTGATAAAGACATTATAAAAGATTTCATAAGCTACAACATACTAAGGCATATGTTTAGATACTGTATCAAGCTTCACTACAAAATATTGTGTGTACTGTATTTGCAAGTACTGTACTGTAATGATTTACACTACAGTTCTACAGTACACTGAAAGCCATTATAAAAATCTAAGATATTGATATCTTCAAAGATTTCCCTGTACTGGTATTTCATAACCTAAGACATAATCTTCAAGAATTTATGTATCAATTACAGCATCGATTTTTTTTCGCAGAAATCTATTACACGACTTGATAATGGTTCAGGATGGATCGAAATGTCATCGTTTCTTCATTTTAAGCTGTGCGGTTTGGTCTCCATAGAAATTATGAACTTATCTCGTGATAAGTAAATGTGTACTGTATCAAATACATTTTTACACGAACTGAAATGTTTGTGATTGCTCAAATATTTATCAAAGGAGTGGATCACAGTCATGATGGGAAATAATGCCTGTTGGATTAGTTTCAGAAAGTGCAGTGAAGCTTAGACAGCAGCTGCAGCAATAAAGCTTAAACAGAGGCTGCAGAATAAAGCTTAGATAGCAGCTGCAGCATAAATATGAAAAACATGATACCATCATAATTAACAAATTATATTAGATGTAATCAAGAAAAATACTGCAATATTTTTTAATTAAAAAGATTCAGATACTGTACTGCAAAATTCTTACCTGTAGTGCTTTTCCTCTAGAAAATGTTTCATTGAGAGTGAGCAATTTGATGTGTCTAAACTTAGCTTCCTTGGAGGCATTAGTTATAATATTTCGGACTTGTTGTAAGCCTTCATGACCAAAATAAACAACTGTTAGGAAGATTCGGCGGTCATGGCGGAGGATGATGGTAACGAGCTTGTCCATAAATCCTCGGAATGTGTCTGTTCTTCCCGAGAGTGGCAGGATGATGTTGATCTGTTGTGGGAGTAACATGATGCAGCATAACATATCTAATCAAGTTCCAGTAAACCTGGCATAATTTATTGTTACATTGGGCCAGAACCAGTGTCAGGCAGAGGAAACTTCTTAAGCTAATCAAGGTTTCACTAAATTACACACAGAAATCACAATAACGTGATGCATCAAATTAACAAATTCACAAGGGCCGTGACGAGGATTCGAACCTACGTCCGAGAGCTTCCCAGACGCTGCCTTAATCGACTGAGCTACGACATGGTCAAAAAGAGTTGAAACTTTCAACTTTTCAACTTTCAAAAGAGTTGAAAGGTTTCACTAAGGGAGAGTCTGCTCATGTAATCACCAATGCAGTTACTGGTCAGACCCAATGATGGTTAACCTGACTTGGAAGAGTGACTAGCATATTATAATTAAATCATTTTTGTCAGGAACAGGCAGCCTGTGAAGATATGCATGTTAGGCTTATATAGAGGCTCCCCCCCCCCCTCCTCATACCTTTTAGGTCAAACTACTGACCCTCCCCAGGATGCAACCCAACTACAAGTTGACTACCCCCCTGGTACCTATTTACTGTTAGGTGAACAGAGGCATTAAGTGATAGGAAACGTGTTCAATCATTTCTCTTCTGCCTGGAATTTGAACCTGGGATTCCCAATTGTGAGTAGAGAACAAATCTGACTGTACATAAAATGACAAGAAAAGTGTTTTAATGTTAAAACATTCTTTTACAGTAAAGGTTACACAAGCAGAAGCATTCTGACAATTGAGTTATCCCATTTGACTGCTTCCTAAGAAAAGTAAACCGTGTTCAAAGGTCAGAATCACGCACACATTGGCGGAACGACATTCTAGCACCAGCAACGAAGGGAACTTTTCAGTCACTGCAAGGTCATCACGGTGTTATGGGAGGTTATCTCTTATCTTGAGGTTATCTTGAGATGATTTTGGGGCTTTAGTGTCCCCGCGGCCCAATCCTCGACCAGGCCTCCACTCCCAGGAAGCAGCCCGTGACAGCTGACTAACACCCAGGTACCTATTTTACTGCTAGGTAACAGGGGCATAGGGTGAAAAACTCTGCCCATTGTTTCTCGCCGGCGCCCGGGATCGAACCCGGGACCACAGGATCACAAGTCCAGTGTGCTGTCCGCTCGGCTGACCGGCTCCTGGGAGAAGACACTTCAGCCCAGGAGGATTTGCAGAAGATCATTAGTAATAACTAAAGCATTCCCAAGTACCTGTTAAGCATCACAGGTGTCTGCTAAGTGCAAGTTACCCTGCTTGACTACCTATGCTCAACACCAACACATCCACCACCTTTGGTTTCCTTGACCCAAGTCACCCCACACCTTTCATATTTATTTATACAAGAAGGTACAATGGGTTGTGAAAGTGCATATGTGGGTGATTAAGTGGTACATTCTTTAAAGCCACTAACGCCTGGACCCAGGCCGGATTTGGGGAGTAGAAAAACTCCCGACACCCTCTCCAGGTATGTTCCAAGTAACATGCATAGCATTTCAAAAGCCCTTACAGTCTAGCTAAAGCTAAACATAAATTTGCAATGAATCTAAAATTAGAATAATAATAACAATGATAATATTTTATTTAAGCAAGAGTACATACATAAGACAGATGAACAGTGAAGGCTTCGTTCATAAGTACAATGCCTGAAACCACTAATACGCTCAGCATTTCAGGCAGTCAATCTCAAATAAAATCTTGAGTAAAAAAATAAAAGGTAATGACAGGTGTATAACAATTTGAATTCACATCTTTACTATATGTATGTAAAGTGGTGATAAACTAAATTACAGTATACAGTACTCTATTGGTATAGGTGATCTAGATGATAAAATACTAAGTGAATTAGTAGCACAAGGTGGGATATTATAGGGATAATAAACTCTGCACACAGGATAATCAGTGATGCCAAGAGAAAGTTTAAAAGGGATTCGAGTTTACCCGATTTTTAACCTGAGGGCCACTAACACTTTTCAAGAATGGTCTTCTGTTCAGCATTTTGGGTAGGACAGTGACATCCTAAGTGACTCCCTAGCATGTCTGATGACCCTGCAGGGACCACTTGAGCTGGTCCTTGTGGCACCAGTGCTTCAATGTCATCATGCTTGACTACACAATTCTGTCCTTTATCACATCAGATCTTACATTAGGGAGCAGTCAAATGATCCTCTCAAAGTGATGCATCTCAAATTCAAATTAAAAATAACATTTACAAACTTTATTTATAAATAGATTTAGTTTACAACAAATTCAAATACTATACAAGTAATTGTCACAAGAAAAATTATAATAATAGCATAACATATAATCATTATAATTATATGCTGAATGGTCCTGTAGCACAGTGATCTACATCCTTGTCTCACAACCGAGAGACCTGCATTAAATCTCCAGGCAGGACAGAAATGGTTGTGCAAATTTCCCTTCATCTGTTCACCTAGCAGTAAATAGGTACCTGGGAGTTAGGTAACTGTTGTGGCTTGCATCCTGGAAAATGTCAGTAGTTGGCCTAGGAGGACTGTACATATCAATGCCTCTCAGCAAGAGTACAAGAGACTCACCAACTGTTTAGTGTTGTGCTGCACTTTAGTGACTACAGTTAATGGTGCAAAGGATCTTAGAAGTGTGACAGAGCGGTACTGATGAGAGGTGTGGTTGGCGCGGCGGTCATGAAACAGCAATTCGTACTGGGTTCCACTTGTAGGGACTGTGCGGTACATTCCTTCCACAAAATCATCGACACTAAATCTGCAAGAAAGAACAGCAAGTTATCGAGTCATCTTGGGACTTATTTGAATTATATTGCAACTTAGACTTGTGCTTAATATTCTAATGCATATATAACATATGTGACAGCATAGATCTCCTTTCCCAAATAATGTACTGTATAGTGTACAGTATATGGATTGTTTACAATTAAACTTTATGGAAACACCTCTGTAAAAGTAATTTAAGCATATACTATGCTGTGGAAGCAGTTAAGAGAAGACTGTCCTTCATTTCTAAATTGTGAACAATTTGCCACAATACTGAATTTACTATTTGCTAGAAAATTACACATTCTGAAAACTATAATGAACACACCTGGCAGGTACTGGTGTATTAAGGTGATCAAGAGCTGCAGTGAGCGCAGCAAGGATATCTCGGCGTTTGAAACCTATTGGCTTCTCCACTACCCTCTTTCCCAAGCCAAGCTCAGAGGGGTATACTCGAGACCACGTGAAGTGGGAGAAGGTCACAACCTCGTATCTATTAACAGGAAAAGGACAGGAAAAGTTATTAATCAAATAAATTTTTACAAGAATATAATTAGTAATTCACACATGCATAAATTTTGAGTTGAATTTTAGAAGAATATTTAGAAGAATATTTTCATAGGAGTCCTCTATCCAAAACTACAGGTAACAAACCTAATATGTAGGACCCCATGCCTTTTCATGGCACACTGTTGAGGTATATATGTGGGTTTATAATTAAGATGAAAAGAGTATTTGGTTTGAATTGTTGTGTGGCATTTGAGATATTCAACAGTACTGTACTTCATTTGTAAACACACACACACACACACACACACACACACACACACACACTAGGGGTCTGGTAGCTGAGCGGACAGCGCAGGACTAATTCTGTGACCCGGGTTCGATTCCCAGACCAGGCAGAAACAAATGGGCAAAGTTTCTTTCACCCTGAATGCCCGTTACCTAGCAGTAAATAGGTACCTGGCAGTTAGACAGCTGTTACGGAGCTGCTTCCTGGGTAGGTAGGTAGGTGGGGGGAGGGGGTGGGTGGGTGTGTGTGTGTACTCACCTAATTGTGCTTGCGGGGGTTGAGCTCTGGCTCTTTGGTCCCGCCTCTCAACCGTCAATCAACTGGTGTACAGATTCCTGAGCCTATTGGGCTCTATCATATCTACATTTGAAACTGTGAATGGAGTCAGCCTCCACCACATCACTTCCTAATGCATTCCATTTGCTAACTACTCTGACACTGAAAAAGTTCTTTCTAACGTCTCTGTGGCTCATTTGGGTACTCAGCTTCCACCTGTGTCCCCTTGTTCGCGTCCCACCAGTGTTGAAAAGTTCATCCTTGTTTACCCGGTCGATTCCCCTGAGGATTTTGTAGGTTGTGATCATGTCCCCCCTTACTCTTCTGTCTTCCAGTGTCGTGAGGTGCATTTCCCGCAGCCTTTCCTCATAACTCATGCCTCTTAGTTCTGGGACTAGTCTAGTAGCATACCTTTGGACTTTTTCCAGCTTCGTCTTGTGCTTGACAAGGTACGGGCTCCATGCTGGGGCCGCATACTCCAGGATTGGTCTTACATATGTGGTGTACAAGATTCTGAATGATTCCTTACACAGGTTCCTGAACGCCGTTCTGATGTTAGCCAGCCTCGCATATGCCGCAGACGTTATTCTCTTTATGTGGGCTTCAGGAGACAGGTTTGGTGTGATATCAACTCCTAGATCTTTCTCTCTGTCTGTTTCATTAAGTACTTCATCTCCTATTCTGTATCCTGTGCCTGGCCTCCTGTTTCCACTGCCTAGTTTCATTACTTTGCATTTACTCGGGTTGAACTTCAACAGCCATTTGTTGGACCATTCACTCAGTCTATCCAGGTCATCTTGTAGCCTCCTACTATCATCCTCTGTTTCAATCCTCCTCATAATTTTTGCATCGTCGGCAAACATTGAGAGGAACGAATCTATACCCTCTGGGAGATCATTTACATATACCAGAAACAGTATAGGTCCAAGGACTGACCCCTGCGGGACTCCACTTGTGACGTCTCGCCAATCTGAGACCTCACCCCTCACACAGACTCGTTGTCTCCTGTTGCTTAGGTATTCCTCTATCCACCGGAGTACCTTCCCTCTCACTCCAGCCTGCATCTCCAACTTTCGCACTAGCCTCTTGTGTGGCACTGTATCAAAGGCTTTCTGACAATCCAAAAATATGCAGTCTGCCCACCCTTCTCTTTCTTGCCTTATTTTTGTTGCCTGGTCGTAGAATTCAAGTAACCCTGTGAGGCAGGACCTGCCATCCCTGAACCCATGTTGATGCTGTGTTACAAAGTTCCTTCGCTCCAGATGCTCCACTAGTTTTTTTCGCACAATCTTCTCCATCAGCTTGCATGGTATGCAGGTTAGGGACACTGGCCTGTAGTTCAGTGCCTCCTGTCTATCCCCTTTCTTGTATATCGGGACTACGTTAGCTGCTTTCCAAATATCTGGCAGTTCCCCTGTTGCCAGTGATTTGTTATACACTATGGAGAGTGGTAGGCTCAGTTCTCTTGCTCCTTCCTTTAGAACCCAAGGGGAGATTCCATCTGGGCCTATAGCCTTCGTCACGTCCAACTCTAGTAAACACTTCCTTACTTCCCCACTGGTAATCTCAAACTCTTCCAGTGGTTCCTGGTTAGCTATTCCCTCACTTACCTCTGGAATTTCTCCTTGTTCTAAGGTGAAGACCTCCTGGAATTTCTTATTCAATTCCTCGCACACTTCCTTGGCATTTGTAGTGAATCCTTCCGCCCCTATCCTTAATCTCATAACCTGTTCCTTTACTGTTGTTTTTCTCCTAATGTGGCTATGCAACAATTTAGGCTGAGTCTTTGCCTTGCTTGCGATGTCATTTTCGTATTGTCTTTCTGCCTCTCTTCTCATCCTGACATATTCATTCCTGGCATTCTGGTATCTTTCTCTGCTCTCCAGTGTCCTGTTATTCCTATAGTTTCCTATGTGTGTGTGTGTGTGTGTGTGTGTGTGTGTGTGTGTGTGTGTGTGTGTGTGTGTGTGTGTGTGTGTGTGTGTGTGTGTGTGTGTGTGTGTGAAAAAATTAGTAGTTAGTAACTGTTGATTGAAAGTTGAGAGGCGGGCCGAAAGAGCAAAGCTCAACCCCCACAAGCACAAATAGGTGAATACAGATAGGTGAATACAACAGGGGTACCAGCATGCTGAAGCTGTTTTGGTTAGGAAGGTGGAGTTCTGTACATGCAGTAATGAACAAAATAAAATTGTTCTCTCTGTTTCTGTAGATTGGTTATGTGCCCTTCCCAACTGCTTTTGCAGTTATGCCCTCTTGTTCACAGATATTTAACATTCTTTGCAAAATATGGAGTAAATTAAGTTTCTAATATTTCGAGCCTGGCAGCCAACCCACAGGGTTGTGACAGATTTCATGTTTGATGCTGTTAATAAAGTGACACTTCAGGTTTTCGCAGGTCTGATAGTTGTTTAAGCACATTACATATGGACTTCGTTCAATGTGGAACCTTGTGATACCTCATTCATCACTCTTGGTGAATATCTTTCTTGCACCCTAGACTATCACGGGCTACTTTCTATTCAAAATTTCAGCAAAATTAGGACAATTAAACAAATTTGAGTGTGTACTTCTAATGGAAAATGTTACATCATTTGTAAAGAAACCAGTGAATAGAAGTGAATGAGTGGGACTTACTCATTGTTCAGCGGGATGCCCTGGGTGATCTCTGACTGGGCCACCTGATGCTGTATGACAGCGCCACAAGGCTCGTCCACCACCACCACATTACTCTCAGTCTTGGCCTCAATGCTGGAGCCAACCACACCAGGACCACCACCCACCCCACCCAAACCAGGACTCTCAAAAGATTCTGAATCGGCTCCTGAAAGAAAAATGTAAATAGTTAACGCTCTCATTCATAACATATAAATATATATATTATATATATATATAACAGTCTCCGTGGTGTAGTGGTAAGACACTCGCCTGGCGTTCCGCGAGCGCTATGTCATGGGTTCGTATCCTGGCCGGGGAGGATTTACTGGGCGCAATTCCTTAACTGTAGCCTCTGTTTAACGCAACAGTAAAATGTGTACTTGGATGAAAAAACGATTCTTCGCGGCAGGGGATCGTATTCCAGGGACCATAGGATTAAGGACTTGCCCGAAACGCTACGCGTACTAGTGGCTGTACAAGAATGTAACAACTCTTGTATATATCTCAAAAAAAAAAATAAAAAAAAAAATAATTCAATGCGAACAAGCTTGAATGGTCCTCAAGCATATATGCAACTGAAAACTCCACAACCCAGGTGATTTGATGAAATAACTATGCCCAAGCTCACCACCAAGTGCCGTCAGGACGGTGGGGAATATATCTTCGGCTACCATTGTCTTTTGTACGGTCTCCCGTCTCTTGTATGGTCACGGTTGGTCAAGTGGTAAAGGGACCACTTATGCCAGTTGCATAGTGCCCCTGGCTGTCTGGGTTCGAGTCACTTCTGGGGTGTGGAATTTTCAGTTTATAATACGTATATACACACCCCTTTTATATTTTATATGTAAAGAAGTAGCATCTATACCAACCTGTTGATTCCAGCAATCAACGTCCCCCGGGGCATCCTGGTTGGTGGTCTGGTCAATCAGGCTGTTAGACGCCGCTGCTCGCAGCCTGATACATGAAACACAACCTGATTGCTGGAAAGGCCCTTTGTGACTAAGCTTAAGCCTTTTAGAATGACTGGTTGATTGGATGTTTTTTCACAGCGAGGTCCAGGATTGGAAACAAAACTTATTATTCTGCGCTACCTCTTGTATTATTAGATGGGTGGGCATGGAAACTAGCTGTGTTTGTTGGTTTAGAGTTTTTCATATATTTTATTGGTGAGAATGATATTCGTCTTGTGTTTTAATTACTTCGGTGTTTTTCTTTGAGCTTTATTTGCACTAAGGATATGTATTTCACGTCGTCTGTTGTAGGTATGGGCTGTAGGCTGATTTGTTATTTTATTTCACTGGGTTATGACCACATGTCTTAAATTCGCTAGTGGTTTATCTTCACGGTTCGAGGATTTGTGTCATCTATTTCAATTGCAGCTTAACAGCCATAGAGAGAGACACTCCAACACTACCTGTGATTGCCCTGTATCAATGATTTCAGACCAAATGATATGAAGTACCTTACCTTGAGGTGGTTCCGGGGCTTAGCGTCCCCTCGGCCCGGTCGTCAACCAGGCCTCCTGGTTGCTGGACTGATCAACCAGGCTGTTGGACGCGGCTGCTCGCAGCCTGACGTATGAGTTACAGCCTGGTTGATCATGTATCAGTACTTTATGGTTATCTTGAGGTTATCTTGAGATGATTTCGGGGCTTTTTTTTTTTTTTTAGTGTCCCCGCGGCCCGGTCCTCGACCAGGCCTCCACCCCCAGGAAGCAGCCCGCGACAGCTGACTAACTCCCAGTCACCTATTACCTATTTACTGCTAGGTAACAGGGGCATTCAGGGTGAAAGAAACTTTGCCCATTTGTTTCTGCCTCGTGCGGGAATCGAACCCGCGCCACAGAATTACGAGTCCTGCGCGCTATCCACCAGGTTACGAGGCCCCTAATGCTCTGTAACTACTTCATACACTCACGAATATTAGATATAATTGTGCTCTTACTCAAATTTTGCTAGTGCAGGTTTGTAGACTCACCTGCCATGTTCTCTCCTGAGTCCATGTATACCTAGGACATACCTGGCGAGGGTTTCGAGAGTTCTGGGGTCAGGCTCGGCCGAGCGGACAGCACGCTGGACTTGTGATCCTGTGGTTCCGGGTTCGATCCCGGGCGCCGGTGAGAAACAATGGGCAGAGTTTCTTTCACCCTATGCCCCCTGTTACCTAGCAGTAAATAGATACCTGGGTGTTAGTCAGCTGTCACGGGCTGCTTCCTGGGGGTGGAGGCCTGGTCGAGGACCGGGCCGCGGGGACACTAAAAAGCCCCGAAATCATCAAGATAAATTGAATAAGGTACCTGCATATTGCTGTGTATACCTAAGTCTGTTTATAAAAAAACTCCCATTTTCCTGCACAAAGGTCATACATCCCTTAAGGGCATGTCTAAGAGCTAAATTTTGTTTCATTTGATTGCAAATCATGGGTTCAGTCGCTTTTAAAAATGTTGATTGACGAATTCACACATTGCCGAGTTAAGAGAAGTTTCTCCCATAAAATTCAGCTAAGCAAACCAGATTCAAATGATAGTTTAGTGACGTTGTACTTCGAAAGCCCAACAGGCTCTACCCTAGGCTTCATTTAGACACCACTTTTCTGAGTGTATAAATGGCTGCTTCCGCTTCCCGGGAGAGCAATAATTGTACCACTATAGCCTTGAACTTCTCCATGATGGACGCTACAATGAAACTACAATGTTCAACCTTAAATTAATATTTGTATTAATATTTGTACGTGTAAAATGTCTATGCTTCAACTTTAAATTTACCTGATAAGATATGATAGATTCTTGGGGGGCGGGGGTAGAAATAGCCTAAGCTACTCTATCCCTTTGAGATGTATTTTTTCTTGTCTCAATAAACATACTTGAACTTGAATTGAACTTGATAGAATCTTCTGTCATACTCGTTGCACTCAAAAATTTCACAATTGACTTAATAATTTAGAGATGTTATCATCCTTAATTCCATGGCAAGACAAGACCGAAGCTAGTTGTAACATGCTTTTTTTTTTAAAGCTATGCGCAGTCGATAAAAATATTAATGATGGAATCGTATGTGTGTGTGTCGTGTACATTCTATTCAATACCGACATCCAAATGCATGCCAAAAACAGCTGAGTAACAAGTCCACTACGGGCTCACCATAGCCCGTGCTATTTGGAACTTTTGTTCCGAGTAGCTGAATCTAAAAACAACAGCTGAGTAAGCCAGGGCATATTATTTATAACGTGTGTATGTATATTTTATACATACACATATATATATATATATTATATATACATATATATATTATACACACACACACACAGTATGAGACTACAAGATGACCTAGACAGATTGCATGAATGGTCCAACAAATGGCTACTAAAATTCAACCCGAGTAAATGTAAGGTAATGAAACTTAGCAGTGGAAACAGGAGGCCAGACACAGGATACAGAATGGGAGATGAAGTCCTTCATAAAACGAACAGAGAGAAGGATCTAGGCGTTGATATCACACCAAACCTGTCTCCTGAAGCCCACATCAAAAGAACAACATCTGCGGCGTATGCGAGGCTGGCTAACATCAGAACTGCCATCAGAAACCTGTGTAAGGAATCCTTCAGAACCTTGTATACCACATATGTAGGACCAGTCCTGGAGTATGCGGCCCCAGCATGGAGCCCCATACCTTGTCAAGCACAAGGTGAAGCTTGAAAAAGTTCAGAGATATACCACTAGGCTAGTCCCAGAACTAAGAGGCACGAGTTATGATGAAAGACTTGTGTGAACTGCACCTCACGTCGTTGGAAGACAGAAGAGCTTGGAGAGACATGATCACCACATACAAAATTCTCAGAGGAATTGACAGGATAGACAAGGACGGATTATTTAACACGGGTGATACACGAACAAGGGGACACTGGTGGAACACTTATGCAGTATCTTTTTTATAATAAAAGTTCAGCTTAGACATATTTGGTGGTAATTAGCAGAACCAGTTTATGTAATTGTAAAAGTCTATTTATTTATTTAAGTAAGGTGGCAGGAAGGGGAGAACTTACTGTTGCCGTTAACTCTGGCGAGCTCCTCCTTGAGTTGTGCTATCTGGAGGAGGAGGCGTCGAGTGTGTCCTCTGTACTCCTCCTCCCTCCACGCCAGCTGACGCTCGTAGCTCGCGCCTTCATCCTCACCTGTAAGGGCCACAGTGTACCATCACAGTCTTCAACACCAACAATGCAACATACAAGGCTGTGAATGTACACTAGTAACGATGCAATATTGCGTGTTAAACTCTGCACTACAAACACTTTAACACCACTTTGTGTGTGTGTAGATATAAAATATATAAAATATATTTATTTTATATTCAGAATTTAGATGGAATATTACTCCAGTTAAACTTTTTAATGAATATATTATGATAAATTAAGAGAGAGTGTTGGCTGAGGCTACGATACCCCGAGGCCGGGGCAGGGATTAGGCTCACTAGGTTTATCTCTTCGTATTCAAGTTATTTTAAAGTTGAGTATCCTTGCTTCACCGACCTCAGCCAGCAACTGGTCCAGGGCCTTACCACTTTCTGAGAGAAGTTACTGCCTGTAGCATATTTCTGTGAGATGACTTGACAGCCTTATAATTCAGTCCATCCTCTTTAGATTTCCATAATGTCAAGAAAACGGTCAATTTAAAGTGGTTTCTCCTAACCTACCAGAGGACTCAAAACAGAAAACGGGACAGTACGTCACTTTCGGCAGCCGCTTCCATTTTATAGTACGACAGGTTTTGGCCGCATGTAACTCATACGAGCGAAATGCGACGTTGTTTGTAGGAAGACAGGTCGTGTAATGCCTTTGTTACGTTGTGATTGTTGAAGATATTGTCAGGGGTAAACAACCTGAACTCTCAAATAATACACCGTATTTTGATGTCAGAATCCTCAGTCAAAAATAAGGGGGAACTATACAAAAAAATATGCGGCTCACAGACAACCATGTTTCCCATGCTTGGGTGCGTTGGGTTAGGTCGGGATCTTGTGTTCGAGCGCTTTAATAGCCACTTTTTTGCTCGTTGTGGCATGTCAAGCGGACGGCCTGGCAGGGTTAGTTTCCTGTATGCTTTGATGAGATCTGCCTCGTCATGGTCAGGGTGCTCCTGGTCACGAGGTCTTCCGCCTATCATGGTATTCAAGGTAGCTTAGTTCTCTTTGATAACTTACTGGCATGTTCCACTTACTGAAGGTATGGGGGCCTGACGGCTGAGTGCACAGCGCTCGGGATTAGTAGTCCTGAGGTTCCGGGTTCGATCCCCGGTGGAGGCGGAAACAAATGGGCAGAGTTTCTCTCACCCCTGATGTCCCTGTTCACCTAACAGTAAATAGGTACCTGGGAGACAGCTGCTACGGGCTGCTTCCTGGGGATGTGTAACAAAAAGTAGGCCTTGGTCGAGGACCGGGCCGCGGGGGACGCTAAGCCCCGAAATCATCTCAAGATAACCTCAAGATAACCCTCTGCATTAAAATCTGGACATAGTGAAGAAGGGAGCCTGGGTCGAGGTGGTTAGTTGTGTTTACACAGGACTTGACTCCTACTAGCGAGCTAATAGTAAGCCTTACCCACTAGTTTTCCGTTTACGGGCTATTCATGCCCGTGCCACCTCTTGGGTGGCTTAATCTTCATCAATCACTATTTTTCCTTGGAACACGAGGAAACCACTAATTGGTTAACAACCAGGTACCCCAATTACTACTGGTTGAACAGTTAAAAATTGGCGGCCAGTCAATCCTTTTCGGACAAGATGCGAACCCGGCCGAAATCGCTCGCGAAGTGCAGGGCGAGTGAATTACCACTATCACCACAAACTGTTGCTGAAGTGGGTGGAAGAGGTGGTGATAGAGCTAGTAGTAGTAGTTGTACACAAGGTGGAAGTCACGGGCTATTCATGTCCATGCCACCTCTTGGGTGGCTTAATCTTCATCAATCAATCAACACGTGACTTAAGGGCTATTCATGCCCGTGCCCTCTCTCATGGTGGCTTAATCTTCATCAAAGGTGGAAGTAGTAGCTTGTCACGAAGGTGACAAGCTATTTTTTGAAGGTGAATGCTATTTTTTTTACCCTAGTCACCTGTAATAAAACTACGAGCAATTCTATGCAAGGTTAAACTTTTATACCTGGACAAATAAAAAATAATCATTGGATAAAACTGCTAAATAACCTTATCTTGAAATGATTTCGGGGCTTTTAGTGTCCCCGCGGCCCGGTCCTCGACCAGGCCTCCACCCCCAGGAAGCAGCCCGTGACAGCTGACTAACACCCAGGTACCTATTTTACTGCTAGGTAACAGGGGCATAGGGTGAAAGAAACTCTGCCCATTGTTTCTCGCCGGCGCCCGGGATCGAACCCGAGACCACAGGATCATAAGACCAGCGTGCTGTCCGCTCGGCCGACCGGCTCCCTTACCTTAAGGTCAGAGCATATGTGTGTAATAAACCAAATGTTTAGGCTTCAATACGATGAAACGCTTCAAAAATAACAAAAAAAGTAAAAAACATTAAAACATTTTTCCTGCTAGGCTTCACTGACTAATAACAAGAAACATTTTTCCTGCTAGGCTTCACTGACTAATAACAAGAAACATTTTTCCTGCTAGGCTTCACTGACTAATAACAAGAAACATTTTTCCTGCTAGGCTTCACTGACTAATAACAAGAAACATTTTTCCTGCTAGGCTTCACTGACTAATAACAAGAAACATTTTTCCTGCTAGGCTTCACTGACTAATAACAAGAAACATTTTTCCTGCTAGGCTTCACTGACTAATAACAAGAAACTTAAGTTTTATTATTATCATCAATGCGCGTTATCAGTTGCAATAGGCCGAGGCATTTTTATGCACGTAGGCGAAAATATAAATATATGAGTTACAATTAAAATGTCAACTTTAATAAAGAATAAAAGTATAGCTAAGAAATTCTAGCTTCAAGACAATGTGATGAAGTGTTCGCGAGATATTAATGGTCTCTGCAACGGGGTGCCCACTAATGCAGGATTATAAATAATAATTAAATTATACTTATTTTAAATCACATTTATACCAGTGTGTAAACCATGGCACCACCTGGTGTGTGTGTGGTGTGTGTGTGTGTGTATACCATGGCACCACCTGGTGTGTGTGTGGTGTGTGTGTGTGTGTGTGTGGGTGTGTGGTGTGTGTGTGTGTGTGTGTGTGTGTGTGTGTGTGTGTGTGTGTGTGTGTGTGTGTGTGTGTGTGTGTGTGTGTGTGTGTGTGTGTGTACCATGGCACCACCATTAACAAAACAGAGGAAACAAACAAAGCCCGGCGCGGCTCTTCCAAAGGGATGTGCATTTATGATAATGTGTAACGCAACACGCTCTTCTTTTCTTTCATAATTCTGTGTGTCTGCAGGAGACACTAATGTGATGTATAATATTTCTCGAATGTAGAGACAACGGCCTTTCCTCGGTAACACGCAGCCTTTGTCCTAACACCTTTGCTTGCTAATCCGGAGCCTAGTGTATCCTCCCGCGCTAATCCGGAGCCTAGTGTATCCTCTCCTTCCTCGCTAATCCGGAGCCTAGTGTATCCTCTCCTTCCTCGCTAATCCGGAGCCTAGTGTATCCTCTCCTTCCTCGCTAATCCGGAGCCTAGTGTATCCTCTCCTTCCTCGCTAATCCGGAGCCTAGTTCATCCTCTCCTTCCTCGCTAATCCGGAGCCTAGTGTATCCTCTCCTCCCTCGCTAATCCGGAGCCTAGTTCATCCTCTCCTTCCTCGCTAATCCGGAGCCTAGTTCATCCTCTCCTCCCTCGCTAATCCGGAGCCTAGTGTATCCTCTCCTTCCTCGCTAATCCGGAGCCTAGTGTATCCTCTCCTTCCTCGCTAATCCGGAGCCTAGTTCATCCTCTCCTTCCTCGCTAATCCGGAGCCTAGTTCATCCTCTCCTCCCTCGCTAATCCGGAGCCTAGTGTATCCTCTCCTTCCTCGCTAATCCGGAGCCTAGTTCATCCTCTCCTCCCTCGCTAATCCGGAGCCTAGTTCATCCTCTCCTTCGTCGCTAATCCGGAGCCTTGTTTATCCTGTCTTCCCTCGCTAATCCGGAGCCTAGTTCATCCTCTCCTTGAGGATGACAGGGGCCTGACAGCTGAGTGGACAGCGCTTCGTATTCATAGTACTGAGATTCCGGGTTCGATCCCCGGTGGAGGCGGACACAAATGGTGATGCCCCCGTTACCTAGCAGTAAATAGGTACCTGGGAATTAGACAGTTGCTACGGGCTGCTTCCTGGGGGTGTGTAACAAAAATGGAGGCCTGGTAGAGGACCGGGCCGCGGGGACGCTAAGCCCCGAAATCATCAAGATAGCCTGCTCCACCATACTATATGCAGTCTAGCCCTAGCCCCCCCCCCTACCCGGGAAGCAGCCTATAACAGCTGTATAACTCCCAGGTACCTATAGCGTGTGACGGGGGGCAGCAGGTAACAGGGGGCATCAGGGTGAAAAACTCTGCCCATCTGTCTGTCTGGTCCGGGCTGCGCGCGCGTGCAGCCCGTCCTCCTGGGTGTGAGAGCATACGCGCGCGCTCGCGTGCTTGTACCTTTCAAGAAAGTCATTAAACTTCATCCAAATCTCGTCAATAACATAATATTTGTTTTTATGATTGCAATCACCGAGTAAGATTGGTGTGTGTGTGTGTGTGTGTGTGTGTGTGGGGGGGGGGGGGAGGGGGGGGGGGGGGTAGGTCAAGCAGGACCTGCCCCGGGCCACACTCCCCCAGATCTTACAGTCCGCCTTCAACTGTTAGTTCAGGAGTAACGGCGCCAATATTCCGTGCATCTTACTCTAGTTCCTGCAGGAAGCCATCGTGTTCAGGTTGTACATGAACGATCAGAGCGGCCTCCGACACACTAATGACGACAGGCTTCGCTAAACCGCCGCGATGAACAACTGAACCTTCGAAGGTCTTGAGGTTTGCAACACTTGCAACTCAGAGTGCTATTACATCATCCTTGGTTAATGGTGCAGAAGCCAAGTGCCGATATTTTCACTATTCTCGCTTGAAGATTCTGTAGCGCAGTGGTCTGTATTGTAGCACAGTGCTCTGTATCCTCGCTTGAAGATCTTGTAGCACAGTGCTCTGTATCCTCGCTTGAAGATCTTGTAGCACAGTGCTCTGT